TAAAGCTGCATTTTGGATCGCAATTTTACAAGCTTCAAATGCCTTCGTGGCTTCATCGTTCCATTCGATTGACGTTTTATCTTTTTTCTTCGTGTTGTGAAGGTAGGCGTGAAGTGGTGCTTGGATTTCAGCGGCTTTAGGTATGTGTTCTCTGTAAAAATTTATCATCCCAAGAAAACGCCTTAGCTCTTCGATAGTTTTAGGTTTTGCATAATCGATGATTGCTCTGACTTTTTCGGCAGGCGGTTTTATTCCTTCCTTGCTGACGGTGAAACCAAGAAATTGAACTTCTTGCTGTCCAAATATGCATTTCGAAGGGTTGATTGTGATTCCGTTGTCTTCTAATCGCTGTAGCACGGTGCGTAGATGGGTTTCGTGCGTTTCTTTATCAGGGCTTGCAACAAGGAGATCATCAATAAATGCGAAAACGAAATCCAGTCCATGAAGTACTTCGTGTATGAATCTTTGGAAAGTTTGACCTCCGTTCTTTAATCCTGGGATCATTCTTGGGAATTCGAATAATCCCATTGGGGTAATTATTGCTGTCTTCTCTATGTCTTCATCGCGGACTCTTATTTGTTGGTAAGCTCGGTTGAGATCGATGGTGGAGAATATAGTCTTGTCTGATAGTTGATGAGTGAAATCCCTGACTCGCGGTCTTGGGTAGCGGTCAGGAGTGGTAATAGAATTCAGTCTTCTGTAATCTCCACAAACTCGTAATTCTCCGTTCTTCTTCGGTACAATGTGAAGTGGTGATGACCAAGGGCTTTTGCTTGGACGGCATATTCCTTGCTCAATCATGTTTTCGAATTCCTTTCGAACTTGCTCGTATAGGTGTGGTGCGATTGGACGTGCACGACAATGAAGTGGTGGTCCATTGGTGTCGATGAAATGCTCAACGTCGTTCTTCGGTGTTAATTTCATTGAAGTTATTCTTGTGATACCAGGGTATTCTTCGAGGATCTTGTGATACGGTTGTTGCACATCTATGCTTCTTATTGTGGGCAGATTGGTTGCTTGTACAAAAGACTGAGATGCAAGATTAGTTTTCCCGTCGATGATTCTTCTATTTTTGATGTCGACGACCAACTGGTGATGTTGAAGAAAATCAGCACCGATGATTGGTTTGCTGACTTTAGCGACGATAAATCTCCATTTGAATGGTCGGCGTAGATTAAAATCAAGTTCCATTGTTTTTTCTCCATATGTAGGAATAACCGTATTGTTTGCTGCATAGAGTTGAAAATCTAGTGGCTTCAACTTCTGTCCTTGCTTCGGCGGTAACACTGAGATATTTGCTCCGGTGTCGATAAGGAAAGTAAGCTTGCTTTTTTTATCGGTGACGAAAAGACGGTAGGACTTTGCTGTTACGCTGGATCCCGTCGCATCGAGCGTACTAGTTAGTTTTCCGTATTCGTATTTTCATTTTTGAATGTACACGGTGCTGTGCATTTTCTTGCCTCGACCCCGAAACGTCGATGATAGTAGCAGTAAGGGGATCTTGATGTTGAGCTTATTCGACTTCTACTTGCAGAGCGGTTGCGACGAAAAGGTGATCTTCGGTGTTGCTGATTGCGCTGGTTGTACTGTTGCTGGTAAAAGGTATGATGCTGGGAAGCTTTGAGCGCGGCGACTTCGAATGATAGCTTCCGAATTTCTTCGAGAAGAAACTGGGTATCATTGGCCTTTGTTGAAGTGCCTTCGATGATCGATATGTGTGAGCTACTGCTGTTTTCGATCATCTTGTCCGCCAGGAGTGCCAGTTCGTCGAGCTTCGTCTGCGTGCTGAATGTTTCGCTGACTATAGCAGTCCGATCCGACCGATCGAATATGTGGTGGTAGGTGGTTTACCCACATTAGCCGTAGTGTTGAATCCGGAACTTTATCTCGCGCCAAAGTACGCATTTTGCGTAGGAGTTGTGTGGGGTTCTGGTCTCCAAGTTCTATTTCTGATAGAAGTTTCTGTAGCTGTCGACTGTCGGATTCTTCATATGCGGAGATCAGACGATCCTTCAGTGAATTATACTGGTCGACTGCTGGTGGGTTGTACAACAGGTCCGCAATTTGTTCGATGTCTTGTTTCTCAAGTTGGGCTATCACCATCTGTGCTAATTGCGCTTGGCTCTTCTTTAAACCATTCGTTGCGGCTTCAAAACTGACGAACCAAAGTCGTGGTTTATCTCTCCAAAACGGTGGTATTCTTAACGATAGAGATATACCGGCGATTTCTGGTTCCTTTACCGGGTTTGATGTATATGTGTTTGCCTCCTGCTCCATAATGACGGCTTGATTACACTGATTTTATATAAACTGAAGTCTTCCTTCTCGGTGTTCGTACGGGTTTCCTTCGCGGTGTTCGTGCAATAGTAGTGGTACGTCGCAGGGTGTTCCTTCTTGGTGTTCGTACCGGATCTTCCCCCCTCGGTGTTCGTACGGGGTCACCACAGTGGTGACCACGACGTGATCTGAACACGCAACCCAACAATCTTCGGAAACTTCAAGCTTCATCAACGTCATAGAATACCCCACCCATTGGCTCCCGAGTAGATTTAAGGAGATCTCCCCTTTTCCTTCCACGGCCACAGTGGTGACCCCGACGTGATCCACTGTAATAGTGGAGACGAACTGTCCACTATTAACAGACTCCGAGTGGTTTTCTTTAAGGTGGAGAAATGAAACTACTGTTTATGTTTATGAATGTACTGTCGAATGGGATTCGGAATGGAATATCTTTTGCATCAACCTTGCCTATATTTATATGGCTGGCTCACTATTGATTTGCCAATGGTAACAATTAATATTTTGCCTAGCCAATTATATTGCTTATTTTATGACCAATGAAAACTATTTAAAATATACAATTATCTACGTTTCGTTTCCCGGCGTGAGACTTGTTTGTTGTTCACGAAGCTACGTCGCTGGACCGGGCTATATAAGACATGCAGATCGGTGCGCACGCGTTGCGCCCTCCTTTCTGCCAAGGAGGGTCGCGTTCGTATACGGCTTAGAGATCTCTAGTCAGATCGTTAAGCCAATTACCAAAAGGTTGAGTTTAGTGGGTAAAAGTCTCCACATAACCACGCAGCCGGCTGCGTGGTATGCTATGAGCATTCTCAACCTCCCTCCCCCGCTTTCCGGAGGGTTGCCCATATTTGCTTCGGGCGCAAAAAAAAAAAAAAAAAAAAAATGCGCACGCGTAGTCGGCGGGCGGCGGCGGTGTGGAATACAGCTCCGGAACAGCAAGAGGAAACGAACTGCGGCGTTGAAGAAACGGCTCACCATTGGTCGACGGATACGTGACGATAGCGGCGTGTGAAGTCGGTGTGGCGCTGAATGATATTTGCGGCTGCTTCTTGTTTCTTTATAAGAACGTCAAATTATCTATATACAGTCCGCAGTATCTCAGTAGCCAAGAATAATTAGGAAATAAAATGTTTTTTTATTTATTCTCGCCTTCCGCGTTATGGTAGCAGCGGAGTATATATTATTTATTCCCGTTTAGGTTTGATTAATCTGGCTGCTACATATATATATATATATATATAAATATGAAGACATAGCATCTTCTAATTCCCAGTTATCGGTTAACAAATCTAAGTCAATTTTTGTTAAAGCTCGCTTAAAAGCTCTAAAATTGCTACTTTGTTTACGCAACATCTCATCCAGCCTGCTGTTAGAACCGCGGTCCACTTGTCGAGGTGTTACTGACGACGTGGACGGCGGGGGATTGAAAGTTGCCGGTTTAGTGATCCGAGAGGGTTTTGATTTTTCTTCAGTTGGTAAGAAACTTTGTATGTAGTCTTTTGTTTTTGTATAAAAATCAAGAACTTGTCCGTATTGATTCTGCACAATATAGGAATGGTTTTCATCACATAACTCACGTAGCTGGAGGTAAAGTTTATGAAATTCCTGCCAGTAAGTATCCAAAGTGTCCAGTCGTTTTTTGATATGAGCAGCAGTCCTACGGTCGGCGCCGTCCTTCTGAAGTTGCTGAGCAGCTGCTCCATACCAGAAACCATCTGTTGTTGATTTGCTTGTAAGTCTTCTATGGTGTTATTGTTAAAAGATTCGATAGGTGTTAAGTGAACTGATTTATTCCTGTTTGCGGTCCGTGTAACGATGAATTTCCAGCGACAAATGCGCCTTCTCAATCTGCCTGGTGAGACCCGCTTCAGGGAGGCCAGACAAACCGATTCGCTTTCACCGAAAAATCACACTCACACTTCACTTTCGAAGGACCAAAAAGATGTGTGGTATTCAACACCTTTTGAGGTTAATGTTAAAATATAATTGTTTAAATGTTTAAAAAATATTTATTGTTAAAATGTTTACAATGTTAGGAGTACGCACACGAGACTTTGTTGGCGTTCGTACATGTACTGGCTAAAAATATAAAGTTTAATGTTAAATGCCGATGCGTACAAAATGTGTTCGGTGTAAACCGAACAATCATAATACATACACTGAATTTTTAGTTAAACATTTTTATGCACTGATTATTTATCAAATTAGTTATACTTATTTCGAAAGAATATTGTGGTCACAGTACAAATCCACGAACGCAAAGGCTTTAACTTGCTTGAAATAAAGTTCATTTTTCTTTATTTTTATTGAATGACAGAATTAATAATAATACAAATAAAACTGCACTCTTAAAAGTATTATTGCCTTAAGTTACGGTCCATTTCAGTTTAATTGACTGTACAGATTTAGTGTGACTGTCATTTACGTAGTTTTATTTTTGTGATAAAAAATTACCTATATTAAAAATGATAGGAATTTATATATATATATATATATATATATATATATATATATATATATATATATATATATATATATATAAGAAAATGTAAATGGAAACAGTACTTATTTACTAGCATAAAGACAATGTTAAATACTATTATTCTATTGTCTTATGATTTATCCAATATAATAATAACTTTAATATAAGTAATAAGAAATCGCGATAAAATAAGTGACAAGTATATTATGCTTACCTTTTTCTTCATCTCCATTGAAGAGGTTTTGAAGCTTGATATAAACTCTTTCGATAGGATGATAGGAATACTCATAGCCGACGATTTTCCAATGTTTTTGACCGTTTTTCCCATTGACTGTCTTATATTTATACGTGGCAATGATCTTAGCTTTATCTGTAAAAGCAGACAATTAAAAGTTATTTATTTAATGTTTTTATATAGAGTATATAGTGTTGCAAAAGTGTTTTGAAAGAAATTCAGCGATATGCTTTTGGAAGATAACACCTAAAACCGATAGAATTTATGATGAAAAATCATCATCATCAACATTAAATTTGAGAAACATGCACCTTCCTTGTTGGACTTTCTGCTGACCTCTGACTGACTCTCATACGTACAGATATCAAGTCTCCGTCAATGCCCCTCTTGGCTTCTCGGATCCTTGTCATTTCCGGAGCGTGGTGCCTCACTCACGTTGAAATCGCGGTTGTATTCTGCAGACTGTCCCGTGTTTGACACTACAGGTCAGCCGATTAGGATAGGATGCGGTTTTTCTTTGTATTCTTCCCTAAAAAAAAGTATGATTCCGCCTCCAGGTTCTTCAAAAGAGTCATTGCCACGGCAAAGTAAGTGCACATAGGCAGAATTGGCGAGAAACTAGTTCGCCTTCCTTCTGGAACCCGTGCATTCTGGTCTCTTGACAAGGCTGCCCAAGGGAATTTTTGTCAGCCATCTCTTTCATGTCTGCACAAGGAGGACAACATACTGGCCCATGCCACAAAGAAGAAATCTGATCTGCTAGGTTCTTTCTTTGCGTCCAACTCGATTTGCAATGATAGGGGAAGCACACCGCCAATCATTCCGCGGTGTGAGTGCTCCATGCCACATGTGCGTTTCGCACAGCACTCGGTTCACAAAACACTCCTCTCCCTAGACATCCACAAGTCAAGTAGGCCTGACCGAATCCCCAATTGTGCTGAGGACGTGTGCTCCAGTGAGTTGGCACCGGCTCTAACGCGTCTTTTGCGGTGCTCCTACTCCCTAGGCTTAGTCCCAAAATCATGGAAGAAGGCTTTCGTCCACACGATCCCTAAAAAAACGACCGCTCAGATCCGTCAAACTACAGGCCTAACGCCGTCACCTCCTTATTCTCCTAAATAATGGAATCCATTATAAACTGCCCGCTCATGCGGTACCTGGAGGATCACCACCTGATTAGTGACGATCAATACGGTTTTCGTCGAGGTCGATCAGCTGATGATCTTCTGGTCTACCTGACTCATAGATGGGCGGAGGCAGTAGAGTCCAAGGGGAGGTATTGGCCGTTAGTTTGGATATTGCGAAGGTCTTCGATCGAGTTCGGCATAAAGCGCTTCTTTCGAAGTTCCCTTCCTATAGGCTTCCCGAGAAATTGTGCATTTGGATCACCAGCTTTCTTCCGGATCGGAGCATGAAGCTCGGTGTAGACAGTGCGTTTCTTGGTATAATATTGCGTCTTGGATGGATCTGTGAGTGTGGTGCACCTGATTTTACGCATCTTGTGGTTCTGGTCAATGGAGGTATGCGGGTGGTAATGTCTGCTGGGATTGTATGGGGGACCTTGGGATGGTGTAAGCCTGACGATAGTTGTATTGATGCTTGTTGCGTTTTGCAGCATTGGGTCTCTGCGATGGTTGTTTGGCGGGTCGCTATTCTCGATATTCGACTCACACCTAAGTAGCTTTGCCCAAGTCGGGTCCCTTCATTACGGGTCTGCAGACTGTCTGACCACCATGGTGTTTTATATAACAACATAGTAATATCTCTCTGTAACTTTCCCACCTTTGAATAATCGAAGGCAACTTATTGGTGGGTGAGACAAACGTGATCGAAAATGCAGAAGTCAAATATTCTATGCAAAACAATATTATATTAACTACAAAATTTCAAATACACTGATGATTTGAATTTTCAACTTGTAGGTAAAACAATTGTAAATGATTTTGTTAAACTGCACCTTACGAGCAATTTCATCATCATCATTATCACGTCGATTAATGAAAATATGCCTCCCAGTTAGATTGCTTTGTGGTGAGGATATTTGCTATTGTTGCCAAGCTTGGCAGGCGGGTTGGCAGCTGCAGTTTTTTATTTTGAGTTGGTAGCAGAAAGAAGCTGCTGCCATCTCCTGGTTCAATTCCCTTTGTTGCTTTTTTATGACAAATACTGAATAGTATGGGATTAATGGATATTCTTACACTTTATAGCATTATTTTTATTTTAAATTTCATGAGCTAATTTTGTTATTAGGATAGTAAGAGCAATACCTTTATTTTACCTTTATTAAAGACAAGTTTTAAAATGTATTAATTTTTAGAGACAAAATGTTTATTAAAATAAAGTTAATTGCTTTTTTTATTTGGTGTTATATAATTTTTTATTTATAATATATCAATATACCTGTTTTGATTTCAAAATCACCATCTCCTTGAGCTGGTATGAAAAGAAGTTTGCCATCTAACTTGTAAAGACCAGTGATTAATAAGGGACAGTCAATCTCAATTGAAATAGTCGATTGTTTGACGTCTCTCCTAGAAAAACAAATATAAATAAATAAGATGCGATATTGTAATGATTGTTGAGATGTGTCTAAAATATAGTGTTTTTTGTGTGAAATGGATCCTGCAAACTTACTGAATTTCTTAAAATATATTCATAGATCATTAAAAAACGCGGTAAAATTAATAAAAAATTTAAACAAGTTTTTAAAAGAGTTATCTAAAGAACTGTACAGCTGAAAATAATTTGTTAGGGAAATTTTTACTATATTTTGTTAAATTATTATTCGCAATTTTCGGAAAATTATGAATATTAAAGTAACTTACTCAACATTTATAACCTGGCACTTACTAGTGCCAACTAATTTCGTGTCTCTGAAATTAAGTTTTAATTCACCCTGATCAGCGTTAATTTCCTTAAAATTTAGTGAGTCGCCAGGAGGAACACCTAGCTCAGGAAAACCTTTGCCTAAGTAGGGAATTGCGATTTGGGTACTGGCTTTGAGGCATTCGGTGTCATCGCTTTTGCAAGGTTTAATAAACGGTACTGCAAAAAAAAAAACAGGTTAGTCACTTTTAATAGATTAGCTTATTCTAAACTGTGTACTGGGTATAGGCTGGAGTAAGATGGTAAATATATAATAGTTTTATTTCGATAAAGTAATTAAAATTACATACAGGTACTGTAAACTTTTTATACAATCCGTGATTTAAAACAATTATTATTAATTAAAATTAGGACAAACGACATTGGTCCTTTTATATTAGATAATCTACTGCATAATGGTAAATTTTCGGTACACTATGCACCAATAGCTTCCGCATATACTTGTCTTTAAATAAATGAAAGACATAAAAATCTTTATTCACCAACTAAATTATTTCAAAGGATCTAGAAACACGGTTGGAATCTACTTGTTAGTTTAAAAATACCTGTGCCTCTTCAATGTTTTTCAATACTAGGTGTTTGTTTGTGTTTGCAATTTCGGCTACGACAATTAATTTAAACTAAAAATCTGTTAAAAAGTAATCTAAAAATAATATGAGTATTGAAGAAGTAAAAACAAAAATTATATGAGTATTACAAGTACTAGTGTTCGATGAAATGTAAAAATGCGACAAAGTATGCTGTTCGATGCACTGTATAAGCCACAAGTATATTGACTAATTTATACCCAAAAAACTTGTCTTTTCAAATATTGAATCCGTTTGTAATAGTACCCGGGACTCTACTTTGCAGCTTTGCCATCTTTAGCGCTATGTATTATTAATGATACATAGACTTACCCAGTGATCCACTAGACTCCGACAGTAAATAATTTAAGAAAACAAGGCTCAGATAATGCATTTTAAACATTTATCGATTGTATAATTATTTTATCTAATAATATATGTTTATATCACTAACGATAATCGAATAGTGAAGTTGTTTGGGCAAGATCTGTCGATTATATACTTATTTACACGTCAGATCAAAACGAGGCAAATTTTTAATTATTTAACGAAACCAGATTTTAAATAGTATTATTAAAAAGTCTAATATCAAATTAGTTTCTTAAATGCGAGTTGCTACATGTTACGAGTATAAGTTCCGGCATTCCGCGATAAAGTTTTGTTTTATACTAGGATTAAGCAAACGCCTTTTATATATATATATATATATATATATATATATATATATATATATATATATATATATATATATATATATATATTTAATAAAGCTTAATGTCGAATAACTTTTTTTTAATCTTTGTGGTATTCGATTTCACAAGCAAGTTGTGTGAGGCAGAAAACTTCTTTTAAACCGCACAGTGGTGGACCGTCATTCATTAAGATGGTATGGATGGTATCGCGAGTTTCGTCGCGATGTGCGATGGTAAAATTGTGTGGCCGGAATTAGTCCCAACAATTCCTTAGAGCACTCACCGTGGTAAATGCGATAAAATACGCAAAGAGATTACTATTTTTTACATCGCTAAATCTTCATTACAAATTCACATATTTGAAGAATTTTGTGCAAAACGAAAATCGCTAAATTATAGAAGCTTTAAAAAATCATAGATATTTTTTAGGACTTGCCCAGGTATTTGTTTTTGTACCGTTTTATTTTGTCAATTAGTTTTATTTTTTTAATTACACAAGGTCTATTTTTTTTACAAAACAGATTGAAATTTACTGTTACGTTACGAATAATACTACGCTACGGACTTTGTAACTTAGTAGCTAATCATTTGACTGCGGTGCTGCAGGCAGTGTTTTTAATTCCCGCAATTCTTAAATTCCCGAATAAACGAAACAAGCCTACATTATTTTAATATAAGGTATAGTGTTTGGTACATAGTCGGTCAGCATATTACACCTGGTGACGCCTCAATTAGAGGCGAAACACATGTCGTATTATGGACGGTGATGTGTCTTTCCTAGTGTAGTGGTGTTGGGAGTAGTGGTGTTGGATCTGGAAAAAATGTAGTGAGCACTCCTCCTGGTAAATGCGATTAAATACGCAAAAGGAATATTATTTTCTACATGGCTAAATCTTCTTTAAACATTTACAGATTTGAAGAATTTCGTGCAAAACTAAAGTCACAAAATTATAGAAGCTTTTAAAAAATCGTAGATGTTTTGTTAGGACTTGCCTAGGTATTTGTTTTTGTACCGTTTCAATGACACGACGTCTCATTTTTTTACAAATCAGATTAAAATTTACTACTACGCTACTGACTTAGTGACTTAGCAGCTAATCATTTGACTGCGGTGCTGCAGGCAGTATTTTTAATTCCCGGAATTCTTTCGGTTCCCGAATACACGAAACAAACCTTCTTCATTTTATGACATTTTTTTAATATAAGGTGTAGTGTTTGGTACATAGTCGGTCAGCCTATTACATATGGTGATGCCTCGATTAGAGGCGAAACACATGTCGTGTTATTGACGGTGGTGTGTTTTCCCTAGTGTAGTGGTGTTGAGAGTAGTGGTGTTGGATCTTAGCTAATGAATATTTAAAATCTTAGGTAGTCATAGAAGTCTCTTTCTAAGAACGCTGTGCAGAATAAACGAGGGCAAGAATACCAGGACTGGAATATTGCTGAATAAAAATTTACCTTGTACATATAACTAGACGTTATATTTATTCCCTTCCTATAATAAAACGTATGAGAAGAATAATTTAAATCAAATATGACTAAAAAGTATACCACATCAAGTTAAATATTATTTTGGTATGTGACCACAGAGATCTAAAATCCACTTTGTTGTCTGTGAGTGTGACCACATGATTTTAAGCGGAATGCCATGATGGGTGCGGTCGGACGTTTTCAAGTTTGCGAAATGAATCGCGAGGAAGGATAAAACAAAGCATTTTTAAACAAAAACAAACCTTTATCTGACTTCAATAAAATAATATATATGAAACAAACATTATATATACTTCCTAATATTATATATACTATTTTCCTTGATTGACACAAGTATTTTATCGGATTATTGTTATGATAAGTCATCATCATCATCGCCATCATCATTATTACAGCCTATCGAAGTCCACTGCTGAAAATAGGCCTCCTAAATAGATTGCTTCAAAGGCGGAATATTTGCCACAGCTGCCACGCTTAGCTGGCACAGTTTTTGTTATTTAACTATACATTAAATTAAAATACCTACAATATTTTTATTTCAGACATCAAGGACTCAAATAATGCATAAATAAGAAAATTGGCCCAGACACTTCAAATGTTTAACGAGTTCGGATTCTCTATGTGGTATCAGTTTTGTTTAGCATCGTACTTTTGTAAAAATCTAAATGGGAGATGTAGAGCTGTATTGTGGGCTCCACAACACTTACTTGTAAAGTTGTATTTGCGCTATTTTCTCGGTCCCATACTGGTTGCATACGGGTATTAATCAACGTCACTTCTCAAGAAAAGTAAGAAGCCCTGCATTATCGATCTTGTTGCTAATCACCACGAGAACAGACTCTGTATTTACACTTTCTCGCTTTTGAAATAATATAGCTACTATTACGATATCCGGTTGCCATTTTTACATTCTGCGAAGATCCGCGCGATTTGGAATTATTATCAGAAAGATACTGCTGCTCATTTCCTGTACCATTTTTCTTTGCCGCCTTTACAGCATCCAAGGGATAATGTTACTTTTATATGGGGTGGTGAACTTTCTTTCGCTGCTACTCTAAAAGTTTTGTATCTATAAATAAAAACTACTAGGTAATAAAGGAATATCTGGTTTCACTAAGCATTCTTTCTTTTATTATCAATATACTGTCAAGAATTTTTGCACATTTAAGTGTTATATAATATTAATTCAATAGCTGTTACTAATTGTCATAACACAACACTGTACCTACAAACCATTATAATAGATGCATCAGTGGAGTAGTAATATGGGATCAATTTGATGGCCCCGTTTCCATACTGTCTTGCATAGGTCAGCGACTACTTATAATGCATGAGAAACACAGTATTGGAATACGATCAATTCATTGAAAATCCATTCAGTTGATTTCTAATATACATTATAATTTCATCATAATACACATATTTTCATATTTCCTTCATTTACAAGTTAAATTTGCGTTTTGATGTTACATCTACGAAAATTCGCCTACGCATGGTTACCTTGCATGACTATCCTCGTTTAAGTTTACTAATATAAGTACATTCTTACCTATTATTTCTATAGTACGATCATAGAAAGGAAAATATTTCTTAAATAAAATGATGGTCTATAGGTTCGGGAATCTAGGTCTAAAATTTACGTGCAAGTAAACTTAGATAGCAACATATTTAGATTGATATTTGGCAAATGCTCGTCTCTCTGTCAAAAGATAAATCGCGTGTAAGTGAGGTTGACATAATTTAGGAAAAAATTTGTCACGATATTTTTATACCTATTATATAATATAAGGTAGCTGTGTAATAGATTCTACACCACCCCATTTTTTCCCGTAGGTGTCGTAAGAGGTGACTATTGGTGGTTCCAGAAAGATGCGTTAAAGCTGCGGGTGCCAAATAATTACGTGTGTTTTCGTCGTCGTCCCCCCATTACCCCTCGTGCCCGCTGGTAGGACGAAGTTGCTTCAGAATGCACCATTGTCACGTGCTATACACTATATTAACCTGTAGAGTCGCCGACGCCGAAAATATCATTTCACAGGATATTGACATATTTACATGTAGTGAGACGAAATTCATAATTGCAGCATACAAATGCGTTGAACATTGTAATTATTTATTTAGTTTTTTTATTTTAAAATTACGTTGATAGATTCCATATTAGATATCATTATTTATTAGTCAGTAGTTTTCTTATATTTAGGTTAGTTATAGCATCGAATTGGTTTAATAACTGTAATGATGTTATAAATATGTAATAAATAAATAAATATATAAATGTTTTTATATTATTGATTTCCAATAGATGGCGGTATAAGTATCTCAGTCACTTAACTACCAGTAAAGTTACAAGATGGTATGACAATTTTTTTGCCTAGGATTCTGTAGGGGTATGTATCACTTTCTTACTTCTGCCAAATATCAATGCTAGCACTTGTGTGTTCCAGTTTGAAGGGTATAGAGAGCCGGTATAAGTACAGGTAGTGAGGTATTCCGTCTTAACTCACAGAGCTGACGACACATCCTTTTATTTACTTTGGAGTTGTCTACAGATGTCCATAGACTAGCAGTAGGACATAGCCACTCACTTCATAATATTTTAGTTTATTACTTCACATTGATTAAAATTATTTTTACGGATTTTATCGCGTTTATTTTACTATTATTTTTAATTCCCGACGTTTCGGGCGCTTTCCAGCACCCATGGTCACGGGGGACTGAGATGACTGACGTCCCGATGTCATTGTTAAACCCGGAGTACCTTCAGCTTTTTTAATTATTGTTTATGGTCCGATCTATGCAAAATGAACTGACTATGTCCTGAGGTCTTGCAGTGGTATGCTTGGGTTTAGTTTTAATTTTATTGATTATAGGATCCCACCCAGCCTTCTTCTCTTCCACACGTAGGAATGCCAACCAAAAATGTCAACAAAAATACACAAACCGAACGCTCCATTAAGTCCAATAGTGAGTCAGATTGATTCGCCAACTTACAGATTGGCTCAATACTTAGCTAAAATATTATCACCACTCAGAGGACACACAAGAGCACACACTAAGGATTCATACCATTTTGTCAGTGAGATAAAAGACCTACGTCTTACTGACAATGAAACTATGGTCAGTTTTGATGTTCAGTCTCTATTTACATGCCTACCTGTTGAAGACTGCATCTCAATTATAACTAGGAAACTAGAGGAAAATAATATGCCAG